GGGGCCAGGAGCGATCCGCGCGTTGGGGCAAGCCCGGGAGAGAGAGCGGCGCCCGGGCCCCTCTGCCAGTCCCGACTCCTCGCTGAGGCTCCCGGGAGCCGAGACTAGTCCAGCCGCTTAGGGGAGCGAGGCCTCCGGGAGAGGGGCCCTTGCCTAGGCCGGCGCTCCCCTGGGGCCTCCTGTCTGCTCCGAGATCCATCCTCGCACGTCGGGGTTCCGGAGGGGCTGGGGCACGACCCCACAGCGCTGGACCTCGGCTGCAAAGCAGCGGTCCTTCTTCCCGCAGTCTCCCCCTGCACACACACCTGGCCCCCCTCCTAGGGGAGCGAGGCCTCCGGGAGAGGGGCCCTTGCCTAGGCCGGCGCTCCCCTGGGGCCTCCTGTCTGCTCCGAGATCCATCCTCGCACGTCGGGGTTCCGGAGGGGCTGGGGCACGACCCCACAGCGCTGGACCTCGGCTGCAAAGCAGCGGTCCTTCTTCCCGCAGTCTCCCCCTGCACACACACCTGGCCCCCCTCCCTCCGCTTCTGGGATACTCTTGGGAGAGGGCCAGTCGCTGGGCTGCAGCGGGACGTCTCGGCGCCGGAGCCTTTTCTGAGGAGTCATTGGGGGTGAGGGTAAGTGTAAGTGGACGGAACAATAACCCCAAGTACAAATACCTCCAAAGCCCCGCCCGACTTTCAAAGCAGAATCCAGCAGCCTCCACCACTGGGATTATAAATGTGTGAGAGAAGACCCAGGAAACTGAGGGAAGGAAAAGATCCTACTGTTGTTAACAGAGGGGGGGAGAAGGAAAGCTCTTCCAAATACCCTACAAGAAAAGCCATCTCCCGTGTTCTTCCTATTTTTACTCTTTTGAATAATGCGATTGTGACCTTAGAGGGATTTCTGAACCTTGCCCTGCTGAAGCTTGTTGCACCGGCAGGGTAGAAGTGGCTTTGCCTTTGCACATGCTTCCCCCGCCGGGGCTGTTGCAGGAACTGTGGCCATCAGTAGAGAGGAGAGCTGAGACTGGTTTCATTCCAGCCACTCTTTTCTGCCTTGGGGACTTGGCTGATCTGTTGAAGCCATTGCTGCTCCTACTGGACCTATTCTTTGCTCAGCAGGTTGATGTATCCTTTTGTCTCTGGGGTTCTTGAGTAAACATTGTACCCAAGGTGGATGGCAGCTCTACAGTTTTTCAGGTGTCTGAGGATCACACACAGCTGCTGAAAGAACAGAAGATAACTGGTGTTGCTGGAATTTTGGGGACTGTTTTCAAGCCATTTTGAACAAGGTAAATAAAATTTGTGATGTTTAAAATAAAAGGGTCTGTGGTTTAAAATGACTTTTAAAAAGTGACACTGTCTCTCTGAAATTCATTGTAAAATCTAAAGAGTAAGATCTTCAGATTTAATTCTGAAATGTAAGCAGTTTTGCAGAAGAATAAACTTCTACTGCTTTAGATGTTCAGATGAAGTCTGAAGCCTGATTTCATTTTTATAGTAATTGAAAATATGGAAGAAGTGTGTGATGAGATGCTTTTTCTACTCCTGTAATAAAACTGATTACTTCTCTGTTTGTATGCGTTTGCAAATGGATTCTTGTAAGCTTGCAAAGAAGGTTAAAGCGCACTTTGCCCCAAGAATTCTTGAAGGTCTTAGTGGCTCAGTATTGATGCTGAATAACAATGCTTTCTCATTTCCATTGCTTTTTAAATCTGAGGAACAGAAGTTTCTCCAAGCTCTGTTTTTAAGTTGTGATGGCTCAGCATTCAAAAGGGGCAGTAAGGTCCTGCTTAAATCAATGATCTGCCAACTTTGAGCTCCTGTTGTGAAAAAAGTAACAAAGCTTTACCATTTATTAAGCATGATGGCACAAAAATATTCTCATTTTTATAAACTTCTGTGCCTCAGTCTATTTCTCTTTACAGGCATCTTTTACTATTGATATCTACAGTGATAGTGTAATTGACATATTCCTGCAGTACAAATGTTTTTGGTTTTATTTAAGTACTCTTATCTGAGAGTTTCAATGTCTTTTCACCTAAAACTTTGGTTTTTGTGTCCTCTGGTTTTCGTGTCCTCTGGATTAATCTAATCTGATTTTTCCAGTTGCTGCATCTAGAGGCAGAAATGTGCTACTGCTAACTTTTTTGCACCAAAGTGCTACAGTAAAGATTGTATGGACAGTATAACAAATTCAAAATATGTGTCTCGGTTATGAATTAATCCATCTGTTTTGATGTCAGAATACAGTTTCATGAGTTTGAAGGATCATCTTTTGCTCTTTCCAAATAGTTGTGCAGTTCAGTAGATAATTGGGTTAACTGTGTCTTTTTTGCTGGCTGTGTGTGGTTTCAGTGCTTTTTGAAGGTTCTAGCAACAGATTTTTTTTAAGCATAAATCTCTCAAAATAAGGTAACAGGTAGTAAGTACCATAGAAACACAGCCTTGCAAGAAAATCACAAGGTCTTTAATGGGAAGTGGCACTAATATTTGGAAAATTTAGTTGTACACTGCATTACATCTGTTGTATAATATTACACAACATAGTTGTAAACACCTAAGTTATTTCAGCCTCCTTGGTGAGTATCATTGGTGGAGCTAAATTGATAATGTATTATGGTCCTAATTTTTCTTGGTATAGGAAAGGGACTTACACATTCTGATTTGCAGACCTTTTTTTGGTAGATGTACTCTTCGTGTTTTTGGTTTCTACTAATAACTTTACATTGAATTTTTTATTTCAAGATGATGTGTGAGGTGATGCCAACCATCAGCGAGGCAGAGGTTCCTTCAGGGGGAAATGGAAGCCATGGTTCAGGCTCCCCTTTACAATCGGATACTGATTCCCATTTTGAGCAGTTAATGGTATCCATGTTGGAGGAAAGAGATCGACTTTTGGACACACTCAGAGAAACTCAAGAAACACTAGTATTGACCCAGGGCAAGCTACATGAAGTCAGTCATGAAAGAGATTCTTTGCAGAGACAGCTCAATACTGCACTTCCACAGGTACGGATGCTTTGAATGACAGACATCTTGTAATAATAATATTTGGGTTTTTTATACTTTTGGATTAGAATGTGTGTGAATAAAATGTTCCAGAGAGCACATAGACTGTTTGTTGGAAGGAAAATAGACTCTTTCTGGTGGCTTTTATTTGAGACCTAGAAGTATGGTACATAGAATCTTTTAAATTAAGTCTGGCAAAAAGTTTGAAAGATTAAGCTTGATATTTTGTTACTGTGTTGCAGTGGCAGAGCAGAAGTCTCAGAAATGCTGCAGAAGTATCTTAGGTGCATTATGGAGTTAGGTTTTTTGCCTTCCACTGAAGTATTAACTGTTGACCTCTATAGAAGACAAAATGCCAAAGAATACGAATAAATATATATCATGTGTTGTGATAAATAGGCATTTCAGTGTGTGGTCAGGAATACAAAGCAATATTGTGTTTTCCAGTTCCAGTTAAAGGGATAGAGTCAAAGTTGGCAACCTTACTTCTTCCCTTCCTCTCCCCCTTCATTAAAAATACCTGCTTTCAGAGAACAGCAACTTGTACTTTGTGTTAGATTTTTTTAAGAGCTGCAAACACCCATTTATTTGGAAGACTGCTCCTCTGTTTTAGATGCACCCCTACAATAACCAGTATATAACTTTCCTCCTTGATTTTGCACTTTTTCTAGTATGCCTATTTGCTCATTACCAGTGAATATATTGATGTGCATGTAGCTTTCCTCCTTGATTTTGTACTTTTTCTAGTATGCCTATTTCGCTCATTACCAGTGAATATATTGATGTGCATATAATTATTCCAAATAAACCAACCTTTTTGAACGGATTGGATTATGGCTTGCACTCTCTTAATACACTAGTTTTATATCTTTCCAGTAAAGCTACCTCATCGCAAATATAATCACTATATTGAAAATTACACTGGAACTCATCCAATAGAACAGTATAGATATATAGACACATATATCCCATTTGATTGGCTAGCTGGTAAACAAATTGTTTAACCGGTTAGCTGATTAAAGGGAATGAGCAGGGGAGGTAATTGTTTAACCAGTTAGCTGATTAAAGGGAATGAGCAGGGGAGGGGGCTGCTCCAGCCTGGCTGGAGCAATTTTTCTCCCTCTCCCAGCCCAGTGGCCAGGGGGTGGGGGTGGGGGTGGGGG